TACAAAGCTTTCATGTTTGAGATTCAGCCATACAATGATGGAACACCCATCCCTCTACCAGTGCACGTTTTCCACACTCCAGTCCTCACACTGCCTCTACGACAGACAATTTCCCCGATATTCTAATTTTGGGCATTACGTTTTGCTCAAAATTTCCCACTACCATTCAAGCCTACCTGTCAGGGGCAGATCCTAGATCATTTATCTTCCATTGCTCATTTTGAGTGTAATGAGAGCTCACATGGCCATGACTGTAAATGTAAATTTCTAGATTGTAAATGATTGGATTCTAAAGACATCTCTGGGTGATTCAATTGGGAGTCTCTGGGCCAGGGCTGCTGGTGCGCTAAGATGGCACCCGGAGGCAAATTGTGGGCGTGACAGCCAGTCTCCTGGGCCTATAGCCTTTTTATATTTTACTATAGAGCAATGTTGTTTAGTTAAGCACAGAAAGATCGTTAAGGCTATGCTCCTAATATTTGGGATTTGACTGACTCTGAAATATATCTATTCCTGGGCATAATTACTTGGTCATAATTGCTAGACTCAGGCTTCAGTAGCTATAGTACCTAACACGCCAAAAAGGAGGTCCCACAGTCGGACTGGGATGGACCCGGACAAGTGGTAAAGCTACCCCGGCATCAAAATGGGGCATTCTAGAAAGCTTAAGTGCATGATCTTGACGCAAGCTGTTATGACTTAAGAGACAGGACCTCCAAGGGGAAGGTCAAGCTGAACTTGTCTGAGGAATTAGTTTAGGATTTACAGTAAAAACCTTGCTTGCTCTCAGAGCCCAGAGAACTAAGTTTTTCTCTTACTGTGTGTATCCCAACAACTGCAAGTATTGATAACATATACAACTAGAGGGAAAGAGAAAAGTAATGTAGATATCCCTGGGAGACAGAGTGCCTCTTGAGTTAATCTCCCCAAGAGAATTTCCTCTGCCAAATGTTTATCCATGTAAATGATCAACCACACCTATATCCCTACCTCAAGCCCCCTCAGATGTTCTATAAGTATGCTAGAAGCTCTGCATTAAAAGGGGCCATTTTCACCATCAGGCTGTGGTCCCCTGTCTTCCTCTGTCTCTGTTGGGGAGGCCTGGGGAGCTGGGGAGGCAGCTCAGGGCCATCGAATGCACACGCATCTCAGCAGCAGCCCCCCTCATTTTACTTTGTGAACTCACATCTCCCTTCCTCCCTCAAAATTCCTCCACCTTACCTCTTGCCACTATATTCAACATCCATACCTGTTTTGAGAGATGCCACATGAATTCCTATAACTTAAGCATATATAATTATTAAAAAGCGAGAGGGATATAATGATGTATTTTGAGGGGAAGGGTCATACCCAAGGGCACTAAGGGTCTACACAACACTTGGAGGCAACTCCTGGTTGTGCTCAAAGCAATCAGCAGGGCCAGGAATATAATCAGGAATCCTACATGCAAAACACGTGCTCTAGACCTTTAAGCCAGCTCCCCAGACTAGTCAAGAATTTGTTCTTTTTTTCTTTTTTTGGTTTTGTTTTTGGTTTGGAGGTCACACCCAGCTGACTACCCGGATCCAAGACCATATGTGGTGCTGGGGATCAAACCCAGGTCAGCTATGTGCAAGGCAAGTGCCTTATCTACTATATTCAGGACTAAGAATTTCATTCTTAACAAAGAATTCCTATGAAAGTCAGCAATTAATATACTCAAAGCAAGAATTTCAAATGTATTTACTATTTTCTAAGGGAAAAAAACACCCTCTACCATTAGTATCATTTAAGAGGCTATTAAGGAACTATGGAACACACAGTGCAAATATAAGAAAAAGATTTTTTGAAAGAACAAGAGCAAGTAACTTACTACAGGGAGACTTCTGAATTCTGGTTCTACAGAGATTTCAGAAGCTGAGACTATATGGGTGATTAAAGTGCATGCCTTGCAGGCAGATGACACCAGTTTGATCAAACCTTGTTGGGTACAGACCTGGAGGTCTCTGAACACTGCCAGCCATTTGGCCCTGGAGGTCCCTGGCTTGAATAATCCCCAGCACCAAGAGAATTTTTTTAAAATTTATAGCACTACATCCTTAGATACTCCTTTTTAATTACCCATTACAATCCTCAATTGTATTGAAATGCCGGGCAACCCTGTTGGCTAAGTATCACAAGGAAGGGCCCTGGGATTCCTGTGCAGGTTGGAAGGTATCCAAAAACACAAAACCAAAAATGATCTTAGAAGCTACCATGCCACCCAATCAGATAAAATGGTGAACTAAATCAAAACTCTTCTTAGAGCTGTCAGAGAAATGAGGTCACAGGGCAAATCACTGCCCCAAAATTAGAGAAATGGGGATATAAAGAATCACAAGTTACTGGATCAGAAACCTCAGTGCACATCAGTGTTCTAGTAGGAAAACCTGAACTGCAATTGTCGAATAGCTGGAGGCTCAATATTGGTAAATCCAAGTTAAAAACTGCAAGAGGGCCAGGGAGGTAGCTTAAAGGGATGGCTTATAAACTTTGTGTCTAGAAGCCCTAGGGCTCTGTCCTTCATTTCACCTAGGTCCCTGAGCACCACAGGGTATTATGTGACCTCAGAGGCCCACAAGCAGCGCTGGAGGTGGCTTTGGTGATCTCCAGGACCCCTGTAGCCCAGCAGTACTACACTGCCAGGCCCAAGCACTGCGTCATCAAGCCTGCACCACCAGCCAAGTATCTCCGAAATTAACCCCTTGTTCCAAGCAATAGTGGGGAGGCCCCTGTTAAAATTAAAAAAAATAAATGTGGGACGTGGACACTGGTGAAGGGATTGGTATTGGAACATTGTATAACTGAAATCTAATCACGAATAACTTTGTAATTCACAGTTATCAAATTAAAAATTTTTTTTAAATATTAAAGGAACTTTGAATCATGGTGGGAGCCTCCCACGCTTCTTTAGGTTTTACGGAATTCCAGGTGAAACTACCAGGTCTTCATAATAAGAAAAACATTAAATCTTGTGCTTTAGCAGGGGAAGGGGAAAAAAACATTTAGAAGCATAAAAAAATATTCTAGTTTCATTAAGAAGACATGCTCTTAGCAGAAAATATTTTCCAGAGCCTAATATACCTAAAGCAGAAAAATCCACCCCCACCTGTAGTCAGTCAGCCCAAACCAAGTGGGAAAAAAAAAAAAAAACTCCGAAGCCCTGAAGGCTGACTTCAAGGCTGAAACCTAGTAACAGATTCCATCCTCCAATAGTTTAGCATAGCATTACTAAGGGTCAGTTTTCCACAGATCCCTTTACCCAATACATCAAGTCTATCTTTCAAAGAAAAAACTACCAGGCATTACCAGTAAGAGAAAGAAAATACCACTTGAAGATACTGAGCAAGCATCACACCCAGAGTTAGATATGGCAGAAATAATGTAATTATCAGATCAGAATTTATAAAGTACTTTTAATAACTCTTTTTACTTTTGTGGGACCACAGCCAGGGGGGCATGCAGTGCTTGAGATAAAACCCGGGGCCCAGAAATGCCAGGCAACCCTGGTCTTCAGATAAATTGTGTGTGTGTGTGTGTTTTGGGTCACACCAGGTGGTGCTCAGGGCAAGGAATCTGACAATGTATAAAAACTTGATAACTTCTACAAAATGACTAATGTAAGCAGAAAATGGAAACTATAAAAAAGAATACAAAGACATACTAATGTAAACTACAGACTTTGGGTAGTTACTATGTGTCAACATAGGGTTAATTCTGACAAAGGTTAATATTCTTCTAGAGAATTCTATGGGGAGAAACAGTATTCTGCTTATTAATTTGTGTGGTGATTATGGGGAATTCTATGGGGAGAAACAGTATTCTGCTTATTAATTTGTGTGGTGATTACATGAGTGTTTCAATTAAACAGTAAATTTTGTTTTAGGGCCTAGAGGTCTAGAGCAGAAGCTCTGAGCACCTGCTTTGCAAACATACATGTAGTCAGGCATTCTGATTCCTAGTGTCCCATATGTATAGGAGCATGAGCTTGGCACCTCTGCTGTTTGCAATCTCAGTGCTTCAAGAAACTTCCAGCCTCACCACAACTGAGTGTAAGCAGCACAGAAAAGGTGCAAGCCCTGGAATACACCACAACTAGAAAAGATGTACCAGGTCCATTCCCAGAAAATGTAAACCCGGATGAGCACATGTGTATGCACCCACCACACCGACCCCCAGCAAGCACCACAACCATACTGGTGTACCTTAAATAAGAATGTCATCTCATGGTAAGCATGTGTGCAAGTAATGCATTTAAAAGGAGGGCGCGGGGAGGGGCGTGGGATTGATAGCACAGCAGGTAGGGCATGTGACTTGCACATGGCCGACCTGGATTCGATTCCCAGCATTCCACATGGTCCCCTAAGCACCGCCAGGAGTAATTCCTGAGTGCATGAGCCAGGAGTAACCACTGTGCATTACCGGGTGTGACCCAAAAAGCCAAAAAAAAAAAAAGGAGGTCAGGGGTCACTTCTATGCACAGAGCTAGGTATAGCCCCTGAACACCACCAGGTATGACTCCAGAAAAAAATTATTATTTTTATGTGGCAGAAACATGCCAAATTCAATAAAAGAAGGGGGAAATTGTTTAAAATGAAATTCAATGGAAAAAGAAGACACAGCTATCTGTAAGAAAGTGGGGTCAGAATGAGAATCAGGGTCAGAGGAAGTACAGGGGTAAAGTGCCTGCCTGACATGTAGCTGATCCTGGTTTAACCTAGCACCACATACGTCTCCCTAGTAGCACCAGGAGTGACCCAGAGCACTGACCAGAGAGTAAGCCCTGCTCATAGCCAAGTGTGTTCTCAAAACCAAAAAAATAAAGAGACTTAGGCAAACAGATATAAAGCAGACCCTAAGGAAGAAGCAGACAGAATTTCACAATCTCTATACTTTCAGTATCCTTAAGGAGAAACTTTCTCACACATATATACAAGTTTGCTTTCTTACTAACTAGCATGGTCATTATTTGAATCATTCACCTGAAAACAGATCTCGTCTCACATCTCCTTTCCCCATCCAGGGCTCTTTTCCTTGCTCCAATAAGGAAACCACATCTGGCTTAGAAATGTTAAAACCTGTTTGCAGAAAATGAAATAAATTCAAAATCTGTTCTTGATTCCTCAGAAAAGGGCCATGAGAAGAATGTCAAATATAAATATGAGAGATATCTGAAGATTGGGTGAAATTATAATCACCATCTTAAGAACTACTAATAATGGGACCAGATGGTACAACGAGAGGGGCGCTTGCCTTGACAGGGCCAGATCAGATTTGTTCCTAGGCACCCCAAATGGTTCCCTGAGGCCCATCAAGAGTAATTCCTGAGTGCAGAGCCAAGAGCAAGCCCTGAGTACTGCCGGTGTGCCCGAAAATCAAACCAGAAAAAATATTAATAATAAAATAACTTCCTTGGTAATATTAAATCAGATAATTAAGATTTACAATAATCATTATAAAGGACAAGTTCTAACTTAGAAAAGATGAGGAATACATACCTAGTGAGATCAAATGGCCATAGTTCTCCAACATTACATGTCTGTACAAATCTCTCTGAGCTGGCTGAAGCCATTCCCACTCCTCCTGGGAGAAGTCAATGGCCACATCTCTGAAAGTCAGTGATTCCTGAAAAAACATAAAGTTAACTGCCAAACATTGCCCATGTTTCCTAAAAAGTATGATCAAGGAGTGAAATAAGGAACTGGAGTGACAATACAGTGCATAGGATGTTTGCCTTAGAGATGATTTGAGCCCCAGCACCCTATATGGTACCCCAAGCCCGGTCAGGAGTGATCCCTGAGTACAGAGCCAGGAGTAAGGTTGAGTACTAGCAGATGTGACCCAAAAAAAAGGATTGAAATAAGTCCCACTGGGGAGGGTGAGGGGATGAGGTAGGAGGAGAGGGAAGCCATAGTAGCATTCAAAATTCTGAGAAATCGGGGCTGGAGCAATAGCACAGCAGATAGGGTGTTTACTTTGCACATGGCCAGCCCGGGTTTGATTCCCACCGCCAGGGGTAATTCCTGAGTGCAGAGCCAGGAGTAACCCCTGTGCATCACTGGGTGTGACCCAAATATGGGGGGAAAAAATCTGAGTATTACTAAGACTATAATTAAGAGCCTGGCTTGCTTGTTCCATTGTACAAGTGGGGGGAAAATGTGTTATTTGTCCTGAAATAATTTTAAATTTTGTGAAAAATAAATGGCTATACATACAGGTAAAATGGGTTCCTAGCTTTAATTGTAAAAATCCTTAGGATCTTATGACACTTTATGAATAGTGAAGATGATTCTTTTGTGTTAAGTAGGCAATGTATGATTTTTTTTTTTACTTTTCATGTTGGGGGGGGGGGGCACATCTGGCAAGCTCAGGGCTTACTTCTAGTTGACTCAGGAGACCATATATGGTCCCATGGATAGAACTCGGGTTGGCTATATGCAAGCCAAGTGACCTACCATCTTCCACCTCCCTGTTTTGTATGTTTGTTTCTTAATGAGAATCTATTTATAATATTGACACACCCAGCGGTGCTCAAGGTATCATGCAGTGCCAGGGATCAAACGCAGACCTCCAGCATGCAAAGTACACTATCTCCCTGGCCCAATACTGGACTAAGATTTGGCAGGAATTTCTTCATGCTGCAAATAATGTAGCAGATAACAGCAAAACCCTTGAAATGGGGTACATGCTTTACAGTTTGTTACAGTACTCCCCATTCCTGAGGATGCTACTGTAAAACATAGGAACCATTTTAGCAGTGTCACAGATCAAAGAAAAGAACAGAAAAACCTATGAAGGAATTGACTACAATACCCCTCTTTCCCTGAAGATCAGGGGGGAAAAGCCCCTGTTTGGCAGTTTTTAAAAATTACCACGGGGTGGGGGACATCAGGGGTGTCTTTGACTCTGAACTCAGGAATTACTCCTGATGGTGCTCATGGGACCATATGGGATGCTGAAGATCCAACCCAGGTCAAAAGCCTGCAGTAATTTCCATAACCATATGTCAAATACATAGCTTGGTTTTACATTAAAAAAGGGAGGGTGGGGAGGCATCATTCCATAGTGCTTGGGGAACCATGCAGTGGAGGAATCAAATCCATGCTTTCTGCAGGCAAAGCCTTAGAGACATTTCCCCAGACCCTACTCTATATTTTAAAGTAAAAATCTACATATGGGTAAAACCTGGACTAACCGGCAAAACATGGGAAGGCTCTGAGTCTGGAGGAAAACAGGACAAAAAGAATGAGGGTACGAGTTCAAGCTGGAACACTGAGCTAGCATGATCCTCTAAGCACCACCAGAAAGTACCCCTTGGCACAGAGCAGAGGTGAGCACTGCTGCCACCAGCCCGAAAACCAAAGCATAACAGAGAAGTGGAACTAAAAACAGGCACTAATTGGAGAGACAGCGCTGGCCCCTTTCGGGGAGGCACTAGTGGAACAGTACTTAGACCTGAGGAATGCAAAAACAGGGACCTGAATGCTCAGTTGGTGAAGGGTTTGCATTCTGAAGGGTCCAGCTCAATCCACCCACCAAATTGGCCTACGGTGCATCACCTGGTGTAGTTCAAAAGCCAGAACCTTCCGTGCTCACCACTCAGGAACCTGGAGCCGTTCTGGGCCAGAACGCTTCATGACAAGCCCTGCGCCCGCCACAGCATCCCCAAGCTCTGCGGCACGCCGGGCACTGCACAACGCAGCTCCTTCTTTTGCGGGGCTCGGCCGCGGTCCGCAACGCACATTTCCCCAGGGACTACCGCAGCGCCGCACGTGCGGGGCACCCGGGAGAGAGCAGACCCCCATGGAGAACAGCCTCCGCAGCGGTCAGGCACGAAGATGGTCAGGCCCCGGGAGAGAGCACCCTGGGACGGTCAGGCCCCGAGAGAGAGGCCCCGGGATGATCAGGCCCCGGACAGTCAATGGCCCGGGACGGTGAGGCCCTGAGAGAGCGGCCCCCGACCCCTCGCGGGCCGAAGCACCAATGTCCAAGGAGGCGCTGCTCGGGGCTGGGCGGGCGGAGGTCTGGAGCGCGAATCCGGGCGCGCACCGACTGGCTTACCTGGGCCATGGCTCACGGCAGGGGCAGCGGAGACCCGGAGGGAGTGACACAGCGACACTGACTAGAAAATAACGAGACCCTTAGCGAAAGAGAGCCGCGGACTCCGCCCCAACTCCGCGCGCTCCACACCGGAGCGAGCCTGCACCCCGCCCCGCGCGTCTGCCCCTAACGGGACTGCGCCGCGCTTCCCTCCGCGATCGGTGGGCAAGGGATCGCCGAGTGTGGAAGAAATGACTGCCGTGGCCACCAGCGGGCTCTGGTGCATCAGCCGTGGGCCTAATGCAGATCTCGCGGCGGGGACGCGGCACGAGTGTCGGGCCAGGGGGGTTCCGACTCAGTTACAGAAGAGCCACCAGGGAACGCAGGCAACTACATTTCCCAGAAGGCATCGCGGCTACAGCGCGCCGCCCTAAGCTGCACTACACTTCCCACAAGGCTGCACGGCCTCCACCCAGCCGAAAGTAAACTACATTTCCCAGGGATCGCCGCGCCTCCTAGCGTCACCCTAAAGAAGACTACACTTCCCAGAAGTCTCGGGTTTTCAGCCACTCACGCTTTCTGAGTCTACACTTCCCACAAGGCTGCGTGGCCGCTGCGCGCCACTTTACTACACTTCCCAGAAGGCCCCGCCGCGCCGCGCCCGCTTTACGTTATACAGCCGGCGCTACACGCGCGCATAGGCACGCACTCCCAGAAAGCACCTCGCTCCCGAACGAAGGCGGATGCGATCCTTGACAAAACTACTGACCCGGGACGCCCCGGACCCTCTTAATGAGAGAAAATGCCACCAGCACCCCTCCAGCTCCCCCGCCTTTCACTACAATCCCCAGAACGCGCCCACCAGCAGAAAGCAGGCTCGTACTCTAACACCTCCCTTGTCCCTGCTCTTGGAAGGGCCAACACACGCATAATCACACGGAGACAATAAACAAACGCACGGCCGTACACAATCACACAGACCCACGTTCTCAAACATACACGCTACACCTCTGTTCCAGATTTCCCCGCTTCAACCGTGTAGAAGGAAGAGCCCATCTCAGACGACCCCTCCCAGCGCGCTATGCCCTGACCTGTCTAGGGTGAAGACAAGTGCCTCTACACAAATACCTCCCGCCTGTCTGCATGGAAGAAGTGAAACTTAACGCTCCACAGCTCCCAGGATGCCCTGCAAACAGACAGGCCAGAGGAGCCCTCATACTACATCCCAGTTTTGAGTTTCTATTAAAGTTTAACTGTAAACCCGCAGTACTGGTGAAAGTTCATCTGCAAAGTATGCACCCGGGCCACTGAGCTATCAGCCTAACCTCAAATTGGTAATTAAAGTTACTGACTGAAAATAGAATTTACACTCAGGTTAATGGTCTGAGCCCGCCATAAGAAGGCTAGAAATGACATTCAGTTATTGAGATGTAAGGTGGAAAACTATATTTTTGGTAATCACCTGAATGTTTATCATATGCTTCTATTATGTCTTGTCATTAATTGAATTATTCAAATATCACTGAAAATTAGCGACTGGGCCAGAAAGATTATACAGCAGATAAGGTGCTAGCCTTGCAAGTGACCGACCCTGGTTTGATCCCTCACATCCCATATGGTCCCCCAAGTACCACCGGGGGTGATCTAGAAGTAAGTCCTAAGTACTGCCAGGTGTGGGCCAGAAACAAACAAAAAATGATGCTCCATTAGTGGTCAGTTTATTGCAGTCTTTTAAAGTAAAAAAATCAAAGAACAAAAAAACACAAGGGTTGGTCATTTGTGAACCACAGAAATCCAGTTAGTCATTAATTTTCTTTTTTCTTTCTGTGCTCAGATCTTACTCCTGGCCCTGCACTTAGGATCACTCCTAGTGGAGCTTGGAGGACCCTATTGGATGCCGAGGATTGAACTGGGTTGGCCATGTGCACAGGAAGTGTCTTGACGGCTGTATTATCTCTCCCACCTCAGAAACACCAATTATTAATCAACAGTTTATCTGGTATCCTTATTGTGTGCCAGGCACTTCAAGTGCATTACACACTCATTTAAACATAACAATTGTGGGTAATATTACTTACAATTTTGCACACATAGATTATAGTCACATAATGGGTCTAGGAATAGTGCTCCACATTGAACCTCTAGTTACTTTAGTTACAGCCAAACTGTGGAAAATATCCCCTGTGGAAACCAGTTAATCTTAGAATATGGCTAGCTCAATGTTAGGCTCAACTAACAGTCTGGTTCAGAGCTATATTTCCAAGTGTCGCTGCTCACTGCTGAAGGTTAACATTCCCTCAGACAACGTGGCAGGTGGTGACTGAGATGGCAAATGCATTATTTTTAAGAGAATGATCAAATATTTGCATCTGTATGAAATGAGCGACAGGGACAAATGGAGATGTTACTGGCGCCCGCTCGAGCAAATCGATGATTAACGGGAAGTCAAGTGATCAAGTGATCAAGTGATGAAATGAGCAATGATATACATTAAATAATAAACAATATGCCTACAATTTGCCACAAGCAGTAAGTCTCCTGACATTTATTAAATATACAAGAGCCTGGACCAGAGAAGTAGTACAGAGGGTATGGCAATTGTTGTGTCTGTAGTTGACCCAGGTTTTAGTTCCTAACATTTCATATGATTTCCTGAGGATTTCTAGGAGTGATCCCTGAGCACAGCCAAATGTGGTAAAAAAAAAAAAAAGTTCACTAAATGTACTAAATGTACCTCACAGACTACCATATCGATCCATTACACAGATGACATCAGAGTGATCATGCAAGAATATCTGGAGGCCTACATGAGACACATGCTCTCCAGTGTATAAGACAAAAACCCCACTAACATTTAGGAGCCTGGCATACCCATAAAATGTTTAGTGTTTAGAAGTATACAGAGATATCCCTTCTAATGTGAGTAACTTAAAGTATCTTGACTTCTCTACAAAAATAACAATGCCTGAGGAACATTCTTTTTAGTTCTGGGAACAGCATAATCCTATGGTATTATGTACCATATGCTGCTTTGGTATGATGCAAAAGGATGCTTATTTCTGAGATTGAAGAAGGTCCTATAACAGATCAGCTTTATACATCATCCATTTGACCACTAATGGACATCCTTGGTGTAAAGGGACTATGATTCAGCCGACTATGGTGTTCAAAGTATCTATCAGTGATAGGAAAAGTTCCTGCATGGCAATTTCCAGTGAAAGAGTCACAACATAGGGCTCTTCAGTTCTGGAGAAAGCTCTTGCAGTGAGTAATTTTATACATGGTACTTGAGAAGCATATTTTTTTGTCTTTGGATTTGGGGGCATACATGGCGATAATGAGGGGCTATTCTTAGATCTGTACTCAGGAATTATTCCTGGAAGTGCTCATGGGACCTGAGGATTGAATCAGTTAGCTGCTAGCAAAGCAAGTGCTCTAGTGCCCTGCCTGATGTACTATCTCTCTAGCTACTGAAAAGCAATTTCTAATATGTCATCATGACACCAGATGACCATGTGGCCAGAAATTCTCATGACATGCTGGGTCATGTCAGACTCACAAGGAGTAAATTGGGTAGGTGCAGCCACTAATGTGGAAGTGTACATTTATGGCCAAGTGTGATTAGGATTTAAGGATCAAACTGCGTGAGGATATAGATCAGATCCATGTGCATCACTTCTCTAGCCCCAGTCTTATTCATCTAGTTTATACTTACAGCTGTTTAGAAGGTTTTTCACATGTCACTAAATGAGGGAAAAACCTCAGTATATTGGGTGCAAGCCATTTCCAATAGCAGATTCATTACAATAACACTTGGGAGTGGCCTTAGAAAACAGCTGCAGAGTAAGTTCCTATAGATGGAACATTGGGAGAGGTAATAGGCTACTGTATTGTATAAAGAGGAAGGAGACCCACAATTTGAATACATCAGGACTCATGGGTATATGACCTGGCATGGTCAAGATGGAAATATAGGACTGGAATAAAAGCATATGACTGGAGTGATTAACAGGGGAGTGGTTAAGAAACCTGAAGTTTGTGTCACACTTTAATGTCATCAAAGAGAATATAGCAACGAGGGGCATCAGACACCACAGAAACAGTATCATCATCTGCCACTATTGTGCCGGCACAATAGCATATAAAATCCTCTCAGCTGCAAAGTACAAAGTCTCATTCACTAGGACTTATTTGGTTTCTTCCAATTATCAGTGAATGTATAAAATAAGAGAAGAGGGTTGATCCCTCTCCTCCAATATGACATTATTCCTTGAGGAGAGAAACTGGTACATCATGTCAAATTCACTACTTTTGTCCTGAAAAGTATGGTTTTTCCCCTCCCATAGGAATAAAGACAATTTAGGAATGAGTTTTCTTCTGCCCACAAATTCTCAGTCAACATGACTCTACATAGGTTCACATGCAACCTGGTCAAACCAGAGGATACCCTTTGTAGCAAAAGGGGTGTCCCCCACAGGAATGTGGGGTTGTGGCCCAGAGTGAGAGTACTTACCTTACAAGTTCAAAACCCATCACCACCTCACATTGTCAACCATGATCCACAGCACTGTTGAGTGTGATCTGCAGTGCCACACAAATGTGACTTAGCACGAAAACAAAGTATGTAACCCTAAGGCTAGAGATAAGATAGTGGATAGAAAGCTTGTCTTTTATTTATGTGGCTGAACACCTAGATTTTATCCTCAGCATCCGGTAAGGTCCCCCAAGAACTACCAGGAGTAATTCCTGATTGCAGAGCCAGAAGCATTCACTAGGACTGATTTGGCTGAGCACTTTATAACCCCTGAGCATTGCAGGGTATGGCCCCAAACAAACGTGAACCTCAGCACCATTCCATGACAGTGGTGGCACAAGAACATTCCCCCAACCCACAACAATGTAAAGAATATGTCCAATGCAAAAGGAACTCACTGGAGAGAAAATATACCTCACTTCACAGCCACTCCTGGCACAGAAGTATTGGAATGGCCTAGTGAAAGCACAACTGAAACCCCATCTCAGAACAACATACTGTTATGGATTTTCAGAATGCATAATTAAAGATATTTAGATGATGCTATGGTCCCACAGTAGAAAAATGG